AAGAATTTTTTCCCATGCTGAAAAAAAAACATTTTTTTTTTCTAACTTACAACTGTTAATTAACTCCTAGAGTTGACATCCTTATCTATTTCCAGTGCTTACAGAAAAAGACATTGGTCACCCTGGAGAGGGCCCACGGGAGGAAATGTGTTATAAACTTTCCACCTTTTTATTTTCTCTGTGACAGAAACTGAGTTGTCTTTGGAATGTAAAACCTTTTCAAATGTATTTCAGGAATATCTTTGTATCATTTAGCTGGGAAAAAAAACAAATTTTCTCTTTCCATAGTTCCCTCCAATTCCCAGGGGCCTTCTAGGGCAGAATCACAGACTAAAAATAGCATAGACTAATTTGGGCTCACTTAGGCAAGCTATTTATCCTGTTGTACATAGTTTTTTTTTTTTTTTCTTTTCAAACATCTAGTCATTCCATTAATGCTATGAAAAAATCTATGTGGTATGAACAAGACTGCTATACCTACTGAGTCACTTCCTTGAAAGTAGTTCTCAGAATTCAGCTTATGTTGAGCATCTATTACTTGTCTCTCCAATTATATTTCAATACACACGGTTACCGTGTCATAACTGTGAATGCTTTATCATCTGCCTAATTACTAAACAACAAGTCCAATTACGCACATTCTTAACATCTAAATATTTTGGTTCTAACTAAAGAAAATTAGGTAATTTTATACATTTTCCTTTCTTTAATTTCTGGATTTCATAGATCTCTCTATATTGTGCCTTGGAGTCCAGATGTTTCCTTGGTGTTTATTTCACACATATACATTTTATTGAAGTGAAGATGCTTGCTTCATTTTCTTCCTTGCACACTGGGATGATCATTCATTAATCCTTCATCCATGCTTAGATTTTTTACTCATTATGTTTTCTGAGTTATTCCTTCAAATCTTCAAATTCTCCAGGGGTGCCTGGGTGTCTCAGTTGGTAAGTGTCTGTCTTTGGTCCAGGTCATGATCCCAGGGCCCTGGAATCAAGTCCTGCATGGGGCTCCCTTCTCAGTGGGGAGTCTGCTTCTCCCTCTGCCCCTCCCCCTGCTTGGGCTTTCTCTCTCTCAAATAAATAAATAAATATTTTTAAAAAAGAAAAAATTCTCCAGAAAATATCTATTCTATTGCCTCTTATAGCTTTTTATGAAATTCAGTTTGCGATGCGAGTGGGATGGCTGGAAAGACTAATGACAAGTATATACTTGCCATGGTTAAGTACCCCCTGGTTAAATACTCTTTTAATCACATTTTTAGTGACTGTTCTATCTTCTAGCAACTTCTTGATGGGGTTTTGAATATAGGTGAGGTTCAGTGGGGTGGAGTCCAGAGCTGACAACCAAGAAAGGATTCTTGAGTCTTTGAATTCTTTGGTGCAAAATGGTGGTTTTATGAAAGCACGGGGACAAGACCATGGGCTGAAAGAGGTACTGCCCCGGGGTGGTGAGGGGTGGCTGATTATATACTAGGGGGTTGGGGGAGGTAAGGAAAAGGGAGGTTTTCAAAAGAACTTTCATATGTTAAAGAAGATTCACAGGATACCTGAGGCCCTGCCATTGTCAAATTAAGGCTGCTCTTCCCTCTAGCAAGGCATTAACATGAAGACAGTGGGAAGCTTCCTGGAGGAATGTCACACAGATCCCACCCAGGAGAGCGTGGGGGGGGGGTGCCTTTTGCTCCCTCATCATCCTGACTCCCATCTTACTTTATCACCCTCATCTCAACACATACCAGGTTTAGTGCATTATTTTTTCCTAAGTTAATAAAAGTTAAAGTGGTTGAATCAGTAAGATTCAAGGCATATTTTTAAGGTGGCAAATAACCCTTGAATACCAATTCTATGCCAGGCACTATTCTAGGCACTAAAGATTCAGTGGTAAGACAAAAAAGTCCCTGTACTCTTGGATCTCATAATCCAGTCAGGGAGACAATCAAGGAACCAATTAGCATTAGGTGCTATGAAGAAACTGGGAAAACAGGTTAGAGAATGATGTCTTGAATTTTTCCTTCACAGATACACTATTTATGCAGGGAAGACTTCTCTGATGAGATAACAAGTAAGCAGAGATATGAATGAAGGTGAGAAGTGGGCTGTGCAGATATCTCCATGGAGGATCTTTCCAGAGGGAGGGAGCAAGAGGGAGGGAGTAGGAGAGATGGAGGCTGAAGCACTCTCGGTCTGAGGAACACAAGAGAGGAAATTGAAAGCAGAACCACACTTGCAAGTCTCTGAAGGGATCACATCTGCTGATCCCCTTGGCCAAAGGAAGTCTCCCAGGCAAGCTCTGAATCTAAAGGTAAGGAAATCAGGGACGCCTGGGTGGCTCAGTTGGTTAAGCGTCTGCCTTCAGCTCAGGTCATGATCTCAGGGTCCTGGGATCGAGTCCCGCATTGGGCTCCCTGCTCCACGGGTAGCCTGCTTCTCCCTCTGCCTCTGTCTCTCTCTCTCTCTGTCTCTCATGAATAAATAAATAAAATCTTTAAAAAAAATAAATAAATAAAATAAAGGTAAGGAAATCAACTCCGCCTCTTTAGTGGGAGGAACTGCAGACACAGGGCAGAAAGCACAGACAGAGAAGCAGTGGAAACACTGGGACTCTCCTGGAAAGTTTTTACCCACATCCCTAATTATTCACTTAGAATAAAAACCCAAAACCTGAACAAATGACAAATAATCTTTTGAGTTTCTCCCTTAAAGTATTAACGCAGCAAATAACTTGTTTGATTTTTAAATATTAAATCCCCATTCTATTCCTAGGATAAAGTCAATGTGTTCACCATGCACATGATTTTTAGGAATTTATGTGTTTGGCTTGTTCGTATGTGTTAGGGCTTCTGGGTGGACTTCTGGAGATCCATGAGTGCACAGTAATGAATGAGACTGGCCTGTAGTCTTTGGTCTTACATTGTCCCATTTGTTCTAATATTAAGACTGTGTTGCTCCTGGGGCACCTGGGTGCCTCAGATGGTTAAGCATCTATCTGACTCTTGGTTTGGTTCAGGTCATGATCTCAGGGTGCTGAGATCAAACCCCACTTGGGTTCTGCACTCAGTGTGGAGTCTGCTTGTCCCTCTCCCTCCCCCTCTGCTCCTCCCCATGCTCGCTTGCACACAGGCTCGCTCTCTCTTTCTCAAATAAATAAATAAAAAGGACTATATTGCTTCTATAACAGTGATTGGAAAACATACCCTCTCTTACTGTTGTGTGGATAAGTTGGTTTAAGATTGGATTCATTGCTTCTCAAAATGTTTGGTACAATTTTCCAGTGAAGTCATTTGCACTGTTTTCTTTATGGAACAATTTTAAATGTTGATTCATGATCTGGGTGTACTTATGAAGAGTGTATTTCGTAGTCTGTCTAGTGCAGACTTCCTCTGTGAATAGCCAAATAACACCTATTTGAGGCTTTGTGGGCCACATGGGGTCCTTGTAGCACTTTTGTCCTTATTTTTATTTTTTTCACAACTGCTCTAAAATGTAAAAGCCATTCTTAGATCACATTTCATTCAGAAACAGTGCACAGGCACAATCTGGCCCAGTTTGCTGGTCCCAGCTACAATATGCTATTGTATATGCAACTACTAGGTCACGTTTGCCAATTCTGTTCAAAGCTTTTATATCTTTTAAAAAATAAAGATGTCCCATATCAAATATGAAAAGAGACCTGTTAATATCTCTGAGATTGTGGATTTCTGTTCGTAGATCTTTTACTTCTTGCTTTATGCATTGAGGTCTTATTATTGAGAACTGTTATACAAGCAAGTTCTGCTTAATATCAGTGTTACGTCCATGCGAAAATGACACTTTATGCAAAATGTCACTTACTAGTGAGTAAGGAGCCTACTTTAAACGGAAAAAAGAAATTATAATACATTCATATTAATGCCAAACCCTCATCAATTTCCTAAAAATGTCACTAAAACACAGTAAGGAACTTACTCATAACTATCTGTACTGTTTATAAACTAACATGTTATGGTATAAAATGTTCGAAACATAACTTCCTAATCACCAAACACCTAATTAATTTGTTAACCAATATCTGCCTTGTAAAAAGTAACATAATTTCTTTCAGCACCAAAACTATCTCACATAAACATCCCCTTTGTTGACACTGAATGTTCTTCAAAACATCTACTTTTATAGCACAAAAAATGTCACAGATCAGTATCTCTTGTGTACATTGGTGCAAAAATCCTAAATATTAGTGAGCAAAATCATGCATATTTAGAAAGTAATATATAATGATCAATTGGGATCTATTCTGGTACTGCAAAAATGGTTCAGTAGTAAGATATCCATTAAGATATTAATAAATCTAAGAAGAAAAATCATATGATTATCTCCATAGTTGCTTGAAAACCCTCTTTAAAAAAAAAAAATTGAGAAACCTCCAGGAAACAGGAATTGAGGATATTTTCTTATGCACACACACACACCCTTGTATGTAGTTACATATGTGTATATATTTAATCTACTATTTTACAGTCCGCTGGTGGCGTTAACCAATGAGATTAGACAATAGGAAACAACTGCAGTCATAGGAATTTAAAAAAAATAGAACAGCTATCTCTAGTTCAAATGATATGATGGTATTCCTAGAAAACTCTAAATCATGTGTGATAAACTAAAACAAGAAAAGAATTCAGTAAGGTATCCAGACATAAAAAGAACATAGAAATTAATGGACTTCTTGTAAGCAAAATAACTATTTAGATAATACAATGGAACATTAACCATATTTAAAATAAGAGGATAAAAATGTTTAAACTTAGGAAAGTGCTTAGCATGGAAAAAACTTTAAAACAATTCTGCCAGACACAAAAATAGATATGAATAAATAAAAAAAGACAACCCTTGTATTTAGATATGAAAACTCAGAGTTGCAAATATGTCAGGTTTGCTTAAATTAATTTATAAATTTAATGTGATCTCAATAAAAATACCTGCAAGCATTTTTTTTATGGAATTAGAAAAGTTGATATCAAAGTTTATATGGAAAAATAAGCATACAAGAATAGCTAGAAAATACAGAAGAGAAAAGCTAAGAAAAGGGACTAGCTGGACAATATATTAAAATATATCATAAATCCTCTATAATTAAAACAGTATGGAACTCATATATGAATAAGTGAATATATTATTGGAATAGAATAGCAAGTCTGGACAGAGGCCCAAATACACATGGAAAGTGAATCTGTGATGAATGTGGTAGCAAGCCTGGGAAACAGTGGAGTTTTTAATAGATGTTGCTGGGGTGAGTGGATAGATAGACGGAAGGTAGAAGGGAATCCATCTCTCACACCATACACAACCAGATATATAGACATAAAATCATACAAGTACTAAGAAGGGTTAACTCTCCTTACACATAACTATGACTCAAAATCCCGATTTGGTAAGATTCAGATGCGCCACTGTTCTCTGGCTCCCCCAAGGGAAGAATCCTCCCTTCATTGAACAGCCGTTTCCCTATGAATAATGCGCCATGTTCCACTGGCTTCCTTCAAGGTCATCTGCTTGTCTTTGGCTTTTCCCAGTTCAACTATGAAATGCCTCCTTCTATATCACCGATTAAATTCTGTACGCTTCAAACTTGCCATGTGTAACAATGATTAACTCTGGCACAATACAAAACATACACAGAGGCACTGAGAGTGAATGAACACTTTAGTCGGAATTTCTTGAGAGAAAACTTGGAAGAAGAGGCCCACATGGGCCAAGTTTTGCCTTTAATAGCTCTTATTTGTGGACAGGACACAGTAGCTAGCAAGTAGGATGGGTAAGTTCCCCGGTGGTCTATGGTGTTTATGGCCTGTGGAGTCGAAGACTGAAGTCAGGGCAATTTCAGGGAAGTCACGGGAGATTCCTGGAAAGAGAGCCAAAGGAGGGAGATTCTCAAATTATGTGAGTAAACGGTGGCCAAGACTTTGGCTGGCCGTTGAACCATGCATAAAGGGACAGACGCAATGACAACTAAATATACAGGGACTGACCTGAAATTTGAGCTGCAAACAGGAGAGAAGGAGTCTACAATTTAATTTCAGTCAAATAAATTGCTTTCGAAAGAAAAAATATCAGACTTTTCCAGAGTCTCCAAAACTTAATATTCCAGTCTTCCCAGGATACAATCCAAAATTAATCAGGAAGTAAAGAACCAAGAAAATGTGACCCATCTCTAAGGGAAAGATAATGCACAGGAATGATGCAGCCGGGGATGAGCAGACAAAGGTTTCAAAGCGGCTGCGACAGCTACGGATGCTGAAGGGAAGTGTTGATAGAGACATGGTAGGATGACACAGCATCTGAAATAGTAAAGTCATTGCATGGTTTTAATAGCAGAATTCAGATGCCAGAGGGAAAGAACAGAGAACATAAAGATAGACCAACAGAGAACATCTCACCTCAAGAAAAAGAAACAAGATTGAAAGAAAATAAGCAGAGCTTTAAGCATCTGTGGGACGATACTGTATAGAATAACACATCTGAAGTCTGGGAAGGAGAAGAGCGGACGGGTCAGAAAAAAGTATTTGAACACATAATCTCCTAAGTTTTATCCAAGTATACTGAGGCACAAAACATACAGAAAGATTCAAGAAACTCAGAAACTCTGGATTTGCTTTTGATCTATCAGTTTTCCTTCTAGGAATTTACCCTGAAGATGTGCCTCCAACAGTATGAAAATACATGTGTATAAGGTTATTCACTGTATATTGAATGTATGATGTATACAATACATTGTATATTGTTTGAACAAATTATGATTCATTTTCACCAAGGGACAGCCAATTTTTCTTAAAGGGCCAGACTGTAGTTTGGGGTCCATACTGTCTCTGTTGCTCTGTGCTTAACTCTGTGGTTGCAGGATCCATAAACAGTGTGTAAACAAATGTACGTATGCTCTGTGCCAATAAAACCTCATTTACAAAAATAGATGGTGGGTCAGATTTTGCCAGGGAGTCATGGTTTGCCAGTCCCTGATTTGTATAATGCAGTACTGCACATCTATCCAGGAAAAAAAAAAGACTGAAAAGAATCTTTATAAACTGATATGGAGTAATGATTTGATCTTTTTTTAAGATTTTATTTATTTGTCAGAGAGAGAGAGCTAGAGCAGGGGGAGCGGCAGGTAGAGGGAGAGGGAGAAGCAGACTCCCTACTGAGCAGGGAGTCCGGTGCGGGACTCGATCCCAGGACCCTGAGATCATGACCTGAGCCGAAGGCAGACGCTCAACTGACTGAGCCACCCAGGTGCCCTGGAGTAATGATTTACCCATTAAAGGGGCCAAATCTAGGACCATTTGAACATCAAAATAAATAATGATGATAATGGATAATAACACTTTGAATAAAATACCTGAGTTCATGAAAAATGAATGAGCAGATGGAAGGGAAAGAAGAGGTCCTTCTTGTAGTAGAATGCCAACATATGAATATAGAAGGCATGATGACGTTAGAAATACCACTGTTTTGTAACCACTATAGTAATAATTGCTTCAAGCAAGCATCATCCATGGATGCTAAAACTTGTGGGTGTAAGTTTGGCTAGGGACAAGGTATTTATTTACACAGACTCCAAGTATCACTCTTGTATTACTTATTAATCACAAAGGTAAGCAATAACTTGACAGTAGAAACCAGGAGCATAGCCCCTTAACCAGGTGAGCAGGGTTAGCACCCACCATCACAGATGCGGTCACATCACAGGCCTCTGGACACCATCCACGGAGGAGGGCATGACATCCTGTTTGTGGTTCTCCTAGCCGGCACGTAGAACTTCTACCTCATGATGAAGACATGCCAGACAAACCCAGACTGAGGGCCGTTCCACAGAAATACCTGACCCATGCCATCAAAATGCCAATGCCCCCGTGAAGACTGTTCCAGATCAAAAGGGACGAGTCAGACTTGCCGTGTGAACGCAGTGTGTGAGCCGGAACTAGGTCCTGGACCAAACAAACAAAAGTGCCAAAAAGGACATTCTTGGAATAATGTGCAAAATCAGATTAAGAACAGAAGATTGATAAGAGAATTGTATAATGTTAAAATTTCTGGTTATGATAGCTGTATCTGATTATCCTTGTTCTTAGGAAATTCACATTGAGGTATTTTGGGGTAAAAGGGTATGAAATCTTCAACTTCCTATCAACGGACTAGAAAAAAATGTAATGGTATCTGTATAGAGAGACGATGATGTACCAACTATGAGATATAAATAAAAATATAATTGGTGAATTTGGGTGAAAGGTAAGTGTGAGTTCTTTCCACTTTTCTGTAGGCTTTCATTTGAAATTGTTTCAAAATAAAAATTTTAAGACATAAAACCACACATCTGTCACAGCAAAACCAAATCCTGTCACAATAAACGTTCCGCTTCTCAACAAAAACAATCTACTTGTGATTTTTGACAACGTTCCACCAACTGTATTTGAAATTGTATCGATATACATAACATGCAATTGTGTTTAAAATGTTCTTTTGAGTTAGAGTATGTAAATATTAATTTACCCCTTAGAAATGTTATCCACAAAATGCTGTAATGAGAACGAGGTACCTACCGTGCCGTCTGGGTACTGAAGGAAACCGGGAGAGCATTAACGCCGCACGCGCGTTGTTCGCTGACTGAATTTTCTAACAGATTGTTCCGTCACCGCGAAGCTGTCGGCTGGAAGGCTCAGCAGCTTCCCGGGTGAAATGTGGACACGAGGCCCGCACACAGACGGGGGGACACCAGAAGGACGGCCACCTGCAGGCTCCGGGGCGCCCGGCACGTGTCCGCACCGCACGTGCCGCGGGGACGGGAAGGCTCGCCGCCAGGCCTCAGCTGCGCTCGCTCCTCAGACGCCCGCCTGCGGACCGACGCCGCCAGGCCTCAGCTGCGCTCGCTCCTCAGACGCCCGCCTGCGGACCGACGCCGCCAGGTGGGGCCGGGGTGCGCGGCGGGAGGGGCCGCGGGGAACCCGGATGGAGCTCGGGGTCGTCCGGGGGTCACGACCTCCCTGCGCCCTTCCGCACGGACCGTCTTCACGGCCGCCACGGAAATCAGTACGTGGCCGAGGCGCGGCTCTGGACACACACGAACAGGAGTAAATGTTCTCCAGGCGCCCGGTGGGGACTGACGGGGAGCGCGCGCACCCCGTCCGGGAGCACAGACCACACACCTGAGGCGCTTCTCGCGGCCAAGAGCCGCTAAAAGTAGGAACACTCGCCGCAGGGGCTGTGGGGCTGCAGGTGGCAGCTCAGCGCGAGAAGAGGATGCGCTTCGAACCCTGCGGGCCAGTCTGCGAGCACCGTGGCCGAGGGCGGGGGTCGTCAGGGCAGGGGGGCGCGGGGCGCACGGGCTCTCGCCCCGGCACAGTGCCGCATCACGTCGTGAGTGTCCCGGCGCCTCAGGGGTCCGGGAATGTGGCCTTGGTCATCCGGCGTGCGGTCCACGGTGCGGCTGCGCTGCTCGCGGGTAGAATCCAGCAGTCAGGGGGCTCCGGCTGCACCCCGCCAGGTGGAGGCGCCCTGAGGGCGAGGGGCTGCAGCCGGGGGAGGGCTGAGGCGCCCTGAGGGCGAGGGGCTGCAGCTGGGGGAGGGCTGAGGCGCCCTGAGGGCGAGGGGCTGAGGCGCCCTGAGGGCGAGGGGCTGCAGCCGGGGGAGGGCTGAGGCGCCCTGAGGGCGAGGGGCTGCAGCTGGGGGAGGGCTGAGGCGCCCTGAGGGCGAGGGGCTGCAGCCGGGGGAGGGGCTGAGGCGCCCTGAGGGCGAGGGGCTGAGGCGCCCTGAGGGCGAGGGGCTGCAGCCGGGGGAGGCGAGGGACGGAGAGTGGTGTCAGAATGTAACTGGGCACAGCGACTCTAAGAAACGCAACCCCCCCATGTGTGTAATTATTGGCACATGAAGCTGACTGGAATCAAATGGAAAGACACTTTCTAAATTTTGAGAGGCGTTGTGCCGAAGGAGCCATGAGCCCATAGGAAAGCTGGAACTTTCAACTCATCTTCTGTGAACACCTCCGGCATAAAGTGGCTTGGGTGGGTGGCATTAGCTCAACTCTCAAAGGTTTTGTGTGTGTGTGTGTATATATATATATAAAATTTAATACACACACAGTTGTAAGTTTTTGCTTTTATTACTCAATCCTGTAAGTCTTTTTCTTTATTGTTTCAGCTTTTGGTGAAGGCTTAGAATGGCATTATCCACCTGAAGATTACACATTAAAAAAATAAAGTTCACCTAAATCTTTCTCTAGAGGTTTTATGGTTTTTAAGATTACATTCAGTTGGGGCGCCTGGGTGACTCATTTGGTTGGGCTACTGCCTCTGGCTTGGGTCCTGATCCTGGAGTGATCCTGGAGTTCCAGGGTTGAGTCCCGGAGTCCTGCGTTGGGCTCCCTGCTCAGTGCGGAGCCTGCTTCTCCCTCTGGCCCTCCCCCGCCCCATGCTCCCATTCTCTCTCTCTCTCAAATAAATGGGCAAAATCTTAAAAAAAAAGATTATTCAATTTCCTAATGCATTGCATTTATTTTATGGCTAGGGTGGAGACCGAAATCTCTTACCTTCTTCCCTTTATTCAGTATGACTTCATTTCCTCCAATGAGTTAAGATATGTCCTTTATCCTACCATAAAATCTTTTATATCCTTAAACCTCTGACTGAACTTTCTATTATATTCTTTTAATGTTTCTATTTTGTGAATATTCATCTATTTATTGTGGTTTTACTAAATCATTTAATGTTTTATAGAGCAAGTTCCTTTCCTGCTTTCTAAAAATGAATTTACTTGCTTTTGTCACATTTATTCTTAGAAAAAATAAATAATAGAGAAAACCTGTCCCTATAGGGGAAGACAATATTGAAAATACTACATTCTAGGTACGCCTGGGTGGCTCAGTTGATTGAGCATCTGCCCAGGGTCCTGGGATCGAGCCCCGCATCGGGCTCCCTGCTCAGCGGGGAGCCTGCTTCTCCTTCTCCCTCTGTTGCTCCCCCTGCTTGTGCTCTCTCTCTCTCTCTCTGACAAAGTCTTTTAAAAAAGAAAATACATTATACCCAAATTATACATTTAACACCAGTCTCATCAAACTATCAAACTATAATTTGTGTAGACTTTGACTCATTTTAAGTTTATAGTTTTCTTTATATGGGTTTTACAGTTCTTGGTTAAATTTATTTCAATTTATTTTATATTTTGTAGACTTTACTATATTTTGACTGGCTATTGGTAGCATACAGGAAAACTACGGAATTTTCTGTTTACCTTTATACTCTAACATTGTTCCAAACACATTTCTTACTCTTTGGTTTAGTAATTTCAGTTAAAAATCTAATTTTTTTACAGTAAAGAATTATGTCATCTGTCAACTAATAGATTTAGATTCTTTTTCAGACTTTTCCTCTTATGTTTTATTTAGCTTATTGTTCTTAGTTCATGAGTAATAGTAATGTATAGTGACACCTTTATTTTATTTCTTATATCAGTGGAATCATCTTTGGTATTTCTCCATGTTGGTTTTATTTGAAATAGGTATTCTTCACCATAGTAATGATGTGTCTGTTATTCTTAGTTTACTAAGTTTTTTAAAAAACATACATTAGGAATAGATACTGATTTTTATCAGCTGTGCATTTTGGATCCCTGGAGATAGTTAATTTTTGAATTTTGTACTTTTTCTTAAAGGATGTTGGTGTTCATTGAATTTACCACAGTTAATATTCATTCACTTTACAGCATATGTAGAAAATTGAGGTCTAGGCTGTATTTGAATGCCTCCAGTGATAGGAAAATATGTATAATGGCAGCTCTGTCCATTCTTTATATGTCTGGATTTACTGAGCCTGGGTGACAGCACCCCATAACTGAGCAGTATTCTCAACCGACCTCCAACTCCTCTATTACCCAGTCCATACTTGTTAATCTTGCTGTCAAATATATTACACGATGCCCTTGGTCAATAGTTTATTGAAAGCATTCTAATTACTCTACCGAAAGAGAAGTTAATTTAGTCCAACATGACCTGTCCTAAATGAAGCCATGTAATCCCAGTGCTTACACAAAATACCCATATAATAATGTTAGGATGCTGGATGTCTGTTAAGCTCAAGTTACAGCAAAAATTAAAATAGGTGGCTAATGTTTCACATAATGTTTCTAATGTTTAACCTAATAAAGTTTTAGCTGTAACAGAGATAGTAAATGTACTTATTACAACCTCACTACTTTAAAAATTCCAATGCGGAGGCTCAGAGATGTAGCGCCTGCCAACTATCTGCCTCAAACCTTAATCTACACAGACCTTCACTGAGAGACGCTCAGGCCTTCTGATGCTTGTGGGGTGTTCTTGTTTTTCCCCTGTGGAGTCTTCGTGAGTTAGGAGTCAGGACTCAGGAGCTTTAAATTATCCAGATGGTTTCCTGACTCAACTATTATCTGTAGCTGTCGGCCAACTAACCCAAACTGCGTTTCCCAGAAAAGCTCTTGTGTCCGTGGTTTTCCATCAGCAGCAGCAGCTGCCCTGGTCTTCTACGTGGCACCTTCTTAGTGTCTTCCTGAGTCAGCGTCTCACAAGGTTTTCCCAAGCTCTGTCCCTGAGGCTGGTGGTCACTTTGTTTTCTTTGCCTTTGGGCTCCTAGCCTGAGACCTTCTAGAGGGCAACGCTTTTCTTATTCATTTTGCCTCACTTGACTTTTCAAAATACTGTTATAATAATTATACCAGTTTTTGTAAAATTAACCAATAATCAATCAAACTGTGCAGATGTGTGTAGTAAGGTGTCCCTCCCATCCCGTAGAGAACAAAGCCCACCTTCATGACTGAGTCTTGGAGTTAAAACAGAGTGTTCTGTTTCATCTCAATACCTTAAACAGACGACAGGAGCGCGCGGAACGTGAGATTGCGTGACACTCCACCTCTGTGAGAACCAGGATTTCCGTCTTCTTTGGTCCACATCCACTCAACACTGCTGGACTTGATTAAGACATGTTACTAGTTTGAGAAGTTGTCTTCTGTTCTACTGTGTTTTTAAACATAATTGAAGAGATGAAACTTCGTAGGTAAGCATACAATGCAGAAAGAGACGGAGGGGTCCTCAGTAATTATCACTTACCAATGAATAAATGAAGCAGGAGGTTAAAGGTGCTGTCTGAAATCACAAACTTTCCGTTAGGGGAATGGCTAAAGCAAGAACCCAGGCTTTCAGACTCCAACCTGATCCTCTTTGTGCTTCTTCATAAACTCCTGCCTCTGGGGAGAGATGGGGTTTACTCGTCCAGTACCAACTGTATGTCAGATAATAGAGAAAAACAGGTCTTATGTTGCAAAATGATAAACTGATGTCACATCATCAGTTTACTGTAATAACTCTTTCAGTGTGAAGGTTGCTGAGTATGAAAAACCGTGTGATGAGAAAAGGCACAAACAGCTCAACAAACTAGAACAAAGTAATTATGTCTCAATTTTTGTTTTTTAAGTTAAAGACTAACACTTCAACTAACACCATCAGTCTTTTCCAACTTTGCTTTGACTCACAGAATTTGAGTCAAGTCGAAAACATTTGGATATTACTTCCCCCACTAAATTGTTTCCTGCACTTCATGTTTCTAAACAGATTACCTTGGTGCTGTTTAATTAAACATTAACTAATTCATTCAAGCAACAAAGGTGTTGCGTTCTCACAGATAGCATTTGCCATGAACAAACACATTTCAAGCAGAGTATCTTATTGCTATGTATAATTACCAGAAAATAAAAACTTTAAATCATGGCTCCGGATGTTGAGAAATCAAAAAAAGGAGATTCTTAAATCAGGAACAACACACTTCTAGAGTGTTTCCGTATTTTTTTGGTCTATACTTCATCCATCCATCCATCCATCCATCCCACATACCTGCGCCACGTACAGAACTAGGCTCTCAGGGTGCAGTGGTTCCCACCCTCTTGAGCTTTAGCTCCTAGTGTGCTGGCAAACTCAAAACCTCTAAATTTGTGATCTCTTTTTACCCTCTATCAAGTTGATTGCTTGTGTTCACACTTCCAACATCCATTTCATTGCTCACCTGTTCATGGGAAGCGAAGGTTATCTTTACTTCAGAATTTCAGACCATCTGGCTCTCTTCACTCCAACTGTAATGGGCTTCACATCTTTTCATGTCTGGCTCCTCACCCTCTCTCTTCACTTAACCAGCACCTCCTTGGAGAGGCCTCTTTTAACCACCTAACCTGAAATAGTCCCCAGTTACTATCACATCACTGTTATTTTCATTGTGGCCTTTGTGTCTGATACTTTTCATTTACTTGTTTAATCTCTGTCTCCCTTTCTTCCCGTGAAAGCCCTGTGAAGGCAGACAGGGCCCTTATCAGGCTAATTTGCCTCTGAATCCTAAAATGGTGCTTGGTACACAGTTGGCATTGATTAAATATTTGTTGAATAAATGAATCAATGGATTCCTAATTAACTACTTCTTGAACTACTATAGATACTGATTCATCCTTGCTGAGAAGTTTTAAGTTCTCACATCTGTGAAGATTAAATCAGAATTTAAAACTAAATCTTAAAATTAAACAGTTTAGAAATGTAGGAAACATCTGGCAGAGAAATAATTTCATCATTTGCAGTGATGGAAGGAAAGGTTTTCTCTGAAGTAAGCAGGTTGCTGGCCTCTTTGTTGCATCATCAGAAAATGCCTGCCTATTTTTGTTGGTTTGCTCAGGAACTGGGAACATCTGGTGTTGGAACATAGAACGTTGCTCATTTTAAAGTAAAGTGTTAACAATAACTTAAGGGGTTGGGAGTGGGAGAGAAAATGCCCTAAGAAAATGAAGACAGTCTGGAGTCTCTTGGCCTTTAAAACAAACAAAACCAAAACAGGTTTCTTTGGTTCTTCAAGAATCTTAAAGGAACCTTCCTAGAAAGTTCTCAATTTGTGTGATTTCCAAATGAGCAGACTGGGGGGGGGGGGGGGGAGAAAGGGGAAGGAAGGATCAAAGAATCAAAGAAAGAATAAAGAAAAGAAAAGAGAAAAGGGAAAAGCAAAGAAAGGAAAGAAGGCAGGAGCGCGCGCGTGTGGCTCCGCCTAGTTCAGGGTTATCCCGGCCCCGAAAGTGGCGGCGGCCAGCCCGGCTGACTTCTGGGGGCCGGTTCAGATCCCTTTAAAGGTGGGGACCCCCGGAGGACGCGGGGAGGCCGGCGGGAGCGAGGCCCGAGCCTCGGTGGACGCGGCAACTCCTCAGCCGGGTGCCCCGCGCCGCGCTCGCCCGCGCCGCTGCGCCCGCCGCCCCGCCCGCACTCGCTCCGCCCCGGAGCCCCGGCCCCCTCCCCGCGGGGTCCCCTCGCCGGACGCGCTCGGGCCAGGTCCCCTGGCGACCCCTGAGTGGTGACTTCTCCCCCGGCCGGCCTGGGAGCCGCTCGCAGAGCTCGGAACCGCGCACGGCCGCACCCCCGCCTCAACTCGTGCCCGGGGCGCGGGTCTGCGGGCGGCCAGGCGGACGGGGTGGCGGGCCCCCGCGCGCGCGGTCTCTGCGCACCGGCCCGCCCGGCCCGCCGACGTGCCTTCCCCGAGAGCCGGCCGGGCGCCGCCGGGCGCTCGCGCAATGAACCAGAGCCCGGTGTTCGCGCCCCGCAGGGGCGGCTCTCCCCGGCGGGCGGCTGGAGCCGGCGCGCGGCGCAACGAGAGCCAGGACTACCTGCTCTTGGACTCGGAGCCCGGAGAGGACTGCTGCCCTCAGCCCCCGCGGCCGGCCTACGGCTACTACCCCTGCCTGTGAGTGCGGGCGCCGCGGGCGGGGGTGCCGGCCGGAGGGGAGCCGGGGCGGCGCGCGTCCGGACACGCGTGTGCCTCCCTGGGCCGGGCGAGCCTGGGTTGGGCCCCGAGCGAGCGGAGGGGCGCGCGCGTCTAGGTTTGTCCCTGGTGAGCACGCACGGGTGGGTATGCTGGCCCGGGAGAGCGTGACCTCGGGGTTCCGCCTCCGCGAAGGATGGGCAGGTGTCGGTCTCGAGCCCAGCAGCTCCGTCCGCTCGGACCGCTTGGCGCGGCGCCGAAGGCACGGGCCGGGCCGCGAAACTCGGGGTCTAAGGGAGGGAGGCTACCCGGCTCAGGGTCCCCGGCGCGCCCTCCCGCTGCCAGACCCGCACAAGTTCGCAGGTGTCAGTGGAGGGGCGAGCTTGCCCGGCGCGCCCGGCCCCCAGGTCGCCGGGTTAGGTCGGGGACAGGGAAGCGCGGGAGGCTTTCCCACCCCGAGCGCCAGGCGTTCCCCGAGGGCGCCCAGGGGGTGCGGGGCGGGAGACGCGTCCGTTGTGGAGGCGAGGGGGTCGAGGGCGTTTGCGGCGAACCCGGAGCGACTACGGGATTTTATTTAAGAATCGGGAGGGGTTTTTCTGCGAGGGAGGCTGGGGCTTGGCGGGGGCGGGCAGGGGGTGGAATGAGGGAGAAGCCTTCCATCCCGCACATGCCGGGGAGCTCAGGGGCGGCTGGCGGACAGCCTCTCTGCCTCTTTGTCACTTCCCTCGATTGGGTCGTGTGGGTTCCTGACGTTCTTTCCGCACGCGGTTTCCCGAGGAAAGCAGCTCTGGAGTACGTGGTGGGGGTGCTGGGGACGCTCAGCTCCCCACTCCCTCCCCCCTGCCGGCTCCTGCAGACCCTTGGTCAGGTCTGCCCAGCGTCAAGGACTGGTGTGTTCCCTTTCTCAGGAAGAGGTGAGCCCCAGGAAATGGTGCATCTAATTTTTTCCCAAGATAGAAAAAAGTTGGAACTGGTTCCATTCATCTTTGTGCTGTACAATTTGAAAGTATTTACTATTATCTTTTCTTTCTTTCTCAAAAATTAAGATATATATCACATACCATAGAGTTCACCCATTTACATTGTACATATCAGTAGTTAATATATCCACAGAGGTGTGAAAAAATCATCACTGTCTAATTCCATGACATTTTCATCATCCACAAAAGAATCTCGTACTTGACATTGAATTAGAAAATATTTCTATGTCTTATAGCACAGTGCTTCTCAAACCTTAATGGGCGGACGAATTACCCCGGAATCTTGTTAAAATGCAGATTCTGATGCAGTAGGGCCCAGGTGCAGCCCAAGATTCTGTGTATCTAATGATTTCTGAGGTGCTGCTAGTCCATGGACCACACCCTGAGGAGCAAGGAGATACATGCCAAGAACAACAGACGGGAAGAAAAACAAATCAATCCTGGATATTCTGAATACAGCTATTTTCAAACGTGCTTTGAGGGTATATGTTTAAAACATAAGTGGATTTTTTTTTTTTTTCCTTAGACGAGACCCACTAAGCCTGAGGGTTAGATATTTGATAATGTCACCTGCAGCTACTTAAGCAACTTTAAAAAGCTACACTGCTTTTTAACAATCAGGCTGTCCTGTAGAGAAAATTTAAAATTTTTTTCACCTGATCGTTCTATAATTTGTTACTGTGTGAGAAAAATAATTTTGATTTTAAAAACTTGTGTTTGTAAATTAGGAGTGAGAGAGACTAAGTGAAGTAATTCGAAATTGTCTTGTAAATTTTTCCCAGTGCTTTCTTCGAATGTGACCCACCACCTTATTGATTTATCCACTTCTTAATATTACCTGCTCTCTAAAGAATAAGCATTCTCCTCTCTTACTTCAGGAATCTCAGACCATTCTAAATGTGTAGACCAGGACAGCAGAGAGATGACAGAAATATTTTAATGTGCTTCAGTTCATAATGAACACACCTGTATCATGTCAAAGATACTATAATTAATTACAGGATGAACCATATTCTAGAATAAGAGTTTGTTTTGTCTAAATCTATTATTTCCATAAGATTCTATAGTTAGTTTTCATCACTGCTTGCTCTGGTGAGGTTTTTTATTTTTTCCAGTTGAATAATCAAGTACAGTCTTTAGACCAGTCAACAACAGTACTTCACACCTATGATGTACGAGACGGAACTGAAGAAAATCCCTTCCTTCTGGTACAGAGTACAAAAAAGCCCTTCCTTACACTTTTGACTTGTGATGTAAGCAATGTCATCTATTTTCCTAGAGTGGGAGGTGAATTACTTGTGGAAATGGCACACCGGAGATGTGGACATCACCATTTTCTCAAATCATTGAGATTTTTCCCTTAGAAGATCACAAATTATAGCAAGTTGTCATTTCTGTGGGATAAATTCTGTAACTTTTGCTAAAAAATTCTGTTTCGTAGTTTTCGTATGTGGAAAGATTTTTATGTTGTTTATATCATGGGGCTTTTACTACTGAAAATTGTGGCAAATCTTCTTGAGAGCAGTTGCATATATTCAGGCCTTAATAGTGTTTAAGTGGTAACATTCGAAATAGTGTTTAGGAAAAAAAGATTCCCTTTCTCTCTCTTTCCTACTTTTAGTCAGAAATCAGTTAAAACACTCTCTTTTGATCAGTTGGTGATGGTGATTAGCAAGAAGTGGTCTAAGTCCTCCCCGGGTCCCAGGAGGTATGTCAGAGAGTTACTTCACTTAGAAGTTAAAAGTTTGTCTCTAGTCTATTACTTTTGAACATGGGGAAGAATCCTGGGTGTAAAAAATAATGTGGAGGGTTTCTAACTACTCAAGATCTGAAATACAGTTCCATCACCCTTCTGCTTGGGAAGGACTAATTGATTAAGCTCTTACAATGCAGTAGACTAAGATAATCTAAAAAAAATTATGGTTACAGATACCTCGTAAAACTGGATAAAATATTTAAAATGATTTCAAAACATTAACTAATTTTGCAATCAGTGAATCAGTGAAAAAGGATTATTACCATGTGCCTGAAGCAAAGCAATTAAAAGTGAGTATAGCCTGTGTTGAACTGAGCTGTGGCTGCTTCATGGGTTATGCATTTGCATGAACATGGTGGTTGGAGTCGAACGTCTGCATGGGACAGATGACGCTAAGGCCTTGGTTCCCGATGAGCCATGGAGCTGGGACTAAGACATGCCTGCCCCCTGCGTAAGACCAGGACCTTTCCTTTAATGAAAAGTTAGGCTGGAAAAATGCCACCAGCAATGAGTGAGAATAAGAAACCCGATTAGTAAGAGAAAAAGAAATCCTTGGCTAAGAATTGTATTCTTTGCTCCTGTGTCATGTGAGTTTTTGTTTTTGCACTTGTTTTTTACACCACTTTCTGACCTAGAAATCTTCATGTCAGAAAATACCCTTGGGGATCCTCGAAGAGTAAAGCACAAAGCCATCCCTAAGCGATAGTACCAGTAATCTAGACTGCCAAGGATTTTCAAGGAAACAGCAAGCCCGCTGAAGAAATGCTCACTCTAATACATGACTGGACGCACAGGGAAATGATCAATCACGAATGAGAGTGAGCAGAAGACACAACAGCAGTTTTTAAACACTTGACATAATAGAACAACATGAAAGAGAATGTAAAATGGGCATGTATAAAATGTCGACAATATATAACAAATCAGACCCCAAGAAAATAAAAGACTAATTTTTTAAAGACAGAAAAATCTATAAATGAAAAATAAAATTTTGAAATAACTCAATGGGAGGGATAAAATGCAGATTAACCATAGCATAATTGATGATAATACCCAGAGTGCATAGACATAAGTAAATGAAAAATATGAATATTATTGAGTTATGGAACAAGAAGATAGGAGTCCCAGAAGGAGAGAACACAGACAACAAGGGAGACACAACGTTTGAATAGATAATGGGTGATGATTTTCCAGAGATGGTGAATTCTCATGTTTATGAAGTACAACAATATTATTGCAAACCAGAAAATTAAACCCCTTTAAACATATGTTGAAATTGCAGAACATTAAAGACAAGGGGAGATACTTAAAATGAACCAAGATACGAGTGACTTGAATAAGTTCTAAAATAAAAGTATGTACAATGGAAATGTACTCACAATGTATCTTGATACCTGTTACATAATGTGTAGCTTGTAAGTGCTGTGGTTTTTCTTTTACATAAAAGAAATTATTAATGTAAAGTTTTATACAAAGTCGGTGTTCCATTGCTGATAGGATCTCTTTGAATATGGACAAAAAGGGATTTGTATGTAGTAGTTTAGATGTCAGAGAGGACCTTAGTATTCATTACGACCTTTGAAAAAATAGTGTCTGTAACCATGAAGCAAAGACCTGGACTTTGATT